AGTCCCTTCCCTCCCTTCCTCACAATACAAGAACTCCTTGTGGGCACTCCATTAAATCGCTGAGCGGTCGGGTTAGAACGGATAAGAGGAAGTCCTTCTTCACCCAAAGAGTGATGAACACACGGAATTCACTGCCACAGGAGGTGGTGGCGGCTACAAGCATGGAGCAGAGGCCCATCATTGGCTCTTAACTACAAGGTATAGATAGGAACTCTCGGTCTGGGGCAAGGGATGCTCTGTCTTCTTGGTGCTTGGGGGGGGGGGAGCAGTGGGAGGGCTTCTAATGTCCTGGCCCCACTGCTGGTCCTCCTGCTGGCCCCTGGTATTTTTGGCCACTGTGTGACAGCGTGTTGGACTGGATGGGCCACTGGCCTAATCCAGCATTGGCTTCTCTTATGTTCTTATGTCTGGGGCAAGGGATGCTCTGTCTTCTTGGTGCTTGGGGGGGGGGGAGCAGTGGGAGGGCTTCTAATGTCCTGGCCCCACTGCTGGTCCTCCTGCTGGCCCCTGGTATTTTTGGCCACTGTGTGACAGCGTGTTGGACTGGATGGGCCACTGGCCTAATCCAGCATTGGCTTCTCTTATGTTCTTATGTCTGGGGCAAGGGATGCTCTGTCTTCTTGGTGCTTGGGGGGGGGGGAGCAGTGGGAGGGCTTCTAATGTCCTGGCCCCACTGCTGGTCCTCCTGCTGGCCCCTGGTATTTTTGGCCACTGTGTGACAGCGTGTTGGACTGGATGGGCCACTGGCCTAATCCAGCATTGGCTTCTCTTATGTTCTTATATCTGGGGACATTGGCCTGATCCAACATTGGCTTCTCTTATGTTCTTATAGATAAACCCATTGAGCTGAGGTCCATCAGTGGCTATTAGCCACAAGGTATAGATAGGAACTCTCGGTCTGGGGCAAGGGATACTCTGTTTTCTTGGTGCTTGGGGGGGGGGCAACAGTGGGAGGGCTTCTAGTTTCCTGGCCCCACTGGTGGACCTCCTTATGGCCCCTGGTATTTCTGGCCACTGTTTGACACAGAGTGTTGGACTGGATGGGCCATTGGCCTGATCCAACATTGGCTTCTCTTATGTTCTTATGTTAAGAGGGCTGTCCCTGGTGAACTGCTCTCGCTGCTTGGCTTTTACCGCCACGGCAATCCCTGGGAAAGCACCCCTTTGCCACGGCAGCTGGCAGGGCAGGTCTCACATGCAAGATGACGCATGGCCTTCCCATGCGCCTTGTGCTATATCCCCCTACCACAGAATCCAGGCTGCCTCCAGTTGAGATAAATGCGCTGCTGGGCACACTCGCGGGCATAGCTGGCAAAGGTCTCGCAGAAGGCCTCCGTCCCGGCTCCACTGCACTGCAAGTACACGCAGGTGTCATAGAATCCGCTGGGGTCCACCTGGAATCAACAAAAATCCCAAAGAGACTGTGATAGGCACTGATTCTGTTCTGGCAAGAGGGGCGTAGTACTGGCTAGCAGCCAGAGAAGGCGGGTCTGGTTGGCTCCTAACCTCTGAGTGGCACTGGCTGAAAGGGCTGGACATCAGTCTCTGGCACACTGACTCCGCCTCCTGCTGAGTGGCATGTCCTCCCCCCAGATCACAGCGGTGCGTCTCCTCTGCAGCATCTGTGCAGGAACTCTATGGAAGGTAGAGGAGAAAGGCCCAGAGGAGTTGCAGCATTTCTCTCCCACCCCTGTCCCGTCCCATCCCAGCCCTGGGAAAGGCAGCAGGGAGCAACATGCCCGGAGTGACAGGGACCTTCTCCACCCAAACCCCGTCTGGAACATACCGATGCAGCATCTGGGATGCGCCACGAATTGCCAAAACTATTTGCCAACGTGACTGTGTCCCCTCCCACTCGCAGGAAGTCATCTGCAAACATAAAGAGAGAGAGGTACTTCTTTGAAGGGGAGGTTTCAGAAATGTGGGAGAGGGGGCAGAAATATCCCACCTGGCTGGCACACTGCATGAGGCAGGCAGAGCACAGGAGAGCCCCGAGAGGCAGGACTGGGAGGCCGTTTCAGCCTTCCCCAGGACAGGCACCCCAGAAAGGAGGGGAAGAAGCACAGACCAAAGAGGCAGTAAGGGTGCTGGGCGACCTTTCAAGGTCAGAGATGAATGGAGGCGGCTTGCCATGTGCCTTTCTCTGCACAGCAACCCCATGATCTCCCACGCAAGGACTACCTCTGGCCAGGGGTCATTTCGTAGAAAAAGAGGTGCAGGAGCTCATTAGCATAACTCATTAGCATAACTTATTTGCATGTGCCTTCCCCCTGGCATCACCGGAAGTGTGTCAGAAGGCAACACCCACCACTCAGGCTCCACTGGACTGTTTTGGATTGCTAGCTATTGGGGGGGGGACGTGTAGATCTGTCCTCGCAGAGGAGGGAAAGCTTGTACCTGAATAAAACTTGGTCTTAAAGGTGCAAAAAAGGGGCTCTGCAGCTTACCTGGCTGCTTCTTGCTCTGACTGAGGACTGCTGGGAGCAGGGGGTGGGGCTTGTTGCATGTGCCCGCCCCTGGGCTCTTTACTGCCGGAGCTCCACTCCTGTGCGCTCCTGCAGGAAATGACCCCCGGTGGGGGGTATCCTCAGCTGGTGGGGCGTGCTGATTAGTGTACCTGGCATGGAGAGGCTGGTCCGTTGGGCTAAAAGCTCCACTCCTGTGCGCTCCTGGAGGAAATGACCCCTGCCTCTGGCCAACCCTGCTTACCTTCCAAGCTCTGATGAGGTCAGGCTAGTCAGGGCTATGGACCTGAGGCTGCTGCTGGCCCTTTTGCTTACCAGACAGGGCGTTCCCCAGCCCAGTGTGGGAGAAGGGGGTTGTTTACGATGTGTGGATCAGTGCGCTATGAGGGCATCCATGCAGGGCATCCCCCTCAAGAGAGCAACGATCCCACCCACCCCCGCCGACGAAGAAAAGGTTGGGTGGGGCTCCCGGGTGGCTACCTGCAGGGTCGTCGTTGTAGAGTCCGCACAGCCCTTGTGTGACGCCTCTCAGCTCTGCCCCTACAGTAATGTAGACGGTGTCGCGCCCGTCAAACTTGATCCGAACACCCAGGCCGCTCTCCACAAAGAGGAAGTCTCCCAGCCACCAGATGCTGATCCCTGCAGAAGCAGAAGCGGGGACGGGGGAAGGCCAGAATTGAAAAGCAGACAGTAATGGCCTCTTCCTTCACTGTCCGGACTTCCTCTGGGGGCTTTGGAGCAAAACTGAAGCAGGTGACTAGGGAGTGTGGACCTCTCCTTGGTTTCCAAGCCTGATCCGGCCCTGCTCAGGAAAGAGATTCCTGCTCATTCCCTAAACCCTCCTTCCCTGAGCAAAGTTGCTCTTCCCGCTCAGGAAAACTCTTCTGTCTCCAGGCTTCCATTCAACAAGGGAATATCATCCCCAGAGAGGGGGGGGGAAGACCTCCAGAGGTCTTATGTTGGAAGAGAATGGCGCTGTCCCTTCATCTCAGCCTCCAGAAGGGACAAGAGAGTTAGAATAGATAGGCAAACACTAAGCTTTTTTCCGTTTTACCCTTCTGTCGCTATCCCCTTTGATGTGTAGACTGATACCTCTCAGGGGAAACAATTTCCTTCCGTTCCATCCTCTCACATTCTTCTTGCACACACAATACTAAAGAGAGGGAGCACGCTTCTCCATCTTTGGCACAATGGATGCAGGGCCCCCCTCAGGATCCGCGTCCATCCAAGGTAGTTAGAATAGTCTGCATATCTCTAAACTTTACTATCTAGAATGTAGTTTCTAAATAGTTCCTAAATAAAACCATTATTAGTAGTCTTGAAAATGACAAATGGCTCTGTGTAACTTTGTAACTCTGCCAGCACACTGTTGTGTGTCGCCTAAATGCACTCTGCCGAACTGAGACGGGATACTGGACTGACTACACCAGTTACTCCCAACAACTTGGGTGACAGCTGAGTCAAAATTCTGCACAAACATTTCCGAATTCTACTTTGACCTTTTGGCCACTTTGGAATTTCAATTCTAGTTGGAGAGATCGACATGAAACTCGTTTTGATGGGCTAAGCATCAGCCCTCTAAATCAAACACTTTACACACTTTCCCAGTTAAAGCTAATTAATAACTGGGAAGTGTTGAAAAAGATCTGCATTAGAATACTTATTTTTATTTATTTATGTTACTGATTGTCCCCCTTTCTCACTTGGACTCATGATATACAGATGAATTCACACAACGGCCACCTCAGAGCTTTGCCAAGAAGCTCCAAAAGTTCAGCTCAACTCAGCCTGGCACCCTCCAGCTGGTAAGGTTCCCAGTCTCCAGGTGGGGGCTGGAGATTTCCTGGGATTACAACTGATCTCCACGTGTCAGAGATCAGCTCCCCTGAAGAAAATGGCTGCTTTGGAGGGAGGACTGTGTGGCAGACCGGGCCTGTGTCAGCTGGCAGGCCCCACTCTGCCTACCCCTCCTTTGCCTGACCTGGCACCTAAAGGGGCCGTTTCACCCCACTGCCTCAGGGTACTGCTGCCACCACTGTCCCTGTCTTGGGCTCTGGTTAGGCGGAACAGCCTCCTAATGCGGGACAGTTTGGTGTGGTGGTTAAGTGCGCGGACTCTTGACAGCTGAGTCAAAATTCTGCACAAACATTTCCGAATTCGACTTTAACCTTTTGGTCACTTTGGAATTTAAATTCTAGTTGGAGAGATCAACATGAAACTCTTTTTGACGGGCTAAGCATCAGCCCTCTAAATTGAACACTTTACACACTTTCCCAGTTAAAGTTAATTAATAACTGGGAGTGATGATCTGCATTAGAATGATACTTATTTTTATTTACCGTATTTTTTGGACCATAAGACGCACTTTTTCTTCCAAAAAAAAGTGAGGGGAAAAGTGTGTGCGTCTTATGGACCGATGGGGCTCCCATGGAGAGTTGGCAACTGGTTATTTTACTACTTTTCTCCTCCCTAGGGGTTCCCTGACCCATTCCTAGCGCTTCCAAGCAGCTGGGGGAACTATGTGGTACAGAGGGACTTCACCCCTTCAACCATCAAAGGACTTATTTAAAACTCTCAACTATATATATATAGGCACCTCAGAAGCAAACAGAAGAAACAAAATAACGTCGACAAAAGTGCTTCTCCCCCCCCCCCCTAAACTCAGGCCCTATCTAGATGGTCTGCAGGGTAGGCACATTCCTTCATTTCAAAAGTTCAGCTCAACTCAGCCTGGCACTCCCTAGCTGGTAAGGTTTCCAGTCTCTAGGTGGGGGCTGGAGATTTCCTGGGATTACAACTGATCTCCACGTGTCAGAGATCAGCTCTCCTGGAGAAAATGGCTGCTTTGGAGGGTGGACTGTGTGGCGGACCGGGCCTATGTCAGCTGGCGGGCCCCACTCTGCCTACCCCTCCTTTGCCTGACCTGGCACCTAAAGGGGCCGTTTCACGCCACTGCCTCAGGGTACTGCTGCCACCACTGTCCCTGGTTAGGCGTAACAGCCTCCTTATGCGGAACAGTTAGGTGTGGTGGTTAAGTGTGCGAACTCTAATCTGGGAGAACCGGGCTCCACCCTCCAGCAATTTTCCTTTGCATTTTGGGAGTTCCCGGTCCAGAGGGAAGGATGCCAACCTCCAGGGGGGCCCCAAGTGTTTTCTCCCGACTAGGGAGAGCAGTTCAAGTGGAGAAAATGGCTGCTTTGGAGAATTCAACTTTGATTATCTGAAAGGTGCCGCTGGACTTAAACTTTCTTCTGTTGCTTCAGTCCAACACAGCGACCCTTGGTGAGCTGCTGGCATTGAAGTTGTGAACCAGCGGTTTGGCTGCTGCACCAATGAGTTTCCTCTGGAGCCCCATCCTTCCTGAGCCAAGGCAAAAATGTGTGAGCCGGAGGCTAGAACACTGTGAGCCGGCTCACGCTAACTCAGCTTAGAGGGAACACTTCTCTGGAGTCAGCTGGACAGACATGTCCCCTCAAATGGCCTCCGTCTCTGGCCCGGGAGCAGGGTCAGGCCTCTGCCTCCGACTGGCTTCCCGCCCAAAAACTCCATGATACAAACAGCCGTTTCCCGCCCCGGAAGTGGCTCTCCCTCCTGCAGCATTCTGGGGCAGGTCTCCTCACCACCTCGATGGACTTCCTGTCCTCTCTAGGGAGCTGCCCCTCAGATTGCTGGTTGGAGGCAGGAGGGGAGGGGGGGATGAGGAGGAGACTAGGCCCAGGCCTACCTGAAGTTTGACCGTCTCCTCCCATCCAGCCTACATGAAGTTAAACCCCCCCACACAAGATGGCCTTTCTCCACCGGCTCTATGGCATCAGACCACCAGCCGTGGTCCACCCCCCTCCCCAAAACCCTCCCTTCCCAGGCCCCACCCTCCAGCAATTTTCCTTTGCGTTTTGGGAGCTCCCGGTCCAGAGGGAGGGATGCCAACCTCCGGGGGGGGGGGA